AAAAAAATATCTAACATTAATGATGCAAAGAACTTCCTTAATAATCGCATGGAAACAAACAATTTACTCCCTTAAATATCTCATGCTAAGATTTATATCTAATTTCTTTCTGATTCTTCCAAATTCTTCCAAATAAAATGGGTTATGCATGGAATCAACCAATTTACCAACTATTTTTATAATTTTGCCGAATAAATAAAATTAAGGCCGGTTGAACATGGTGTAATATAATTTAATTTACTAATTTAATATAATTTTGCCAAATGATATAATACCGGTTATACATAGTATAATATAAATTAATAATTTAATAATTCTGCCAAATAATATAATAATATATTATAAGTTTAATAATATATTAATATAGTTCTTTCAAATAAAACATGTTGTACATGGTATCAATACTATATCTTTATGTATAATATATGATTAGACTTAAATTATTTTAAGTAATCTTTTTCCTATCATGCATTAATTATAACCTAACTTTAGTATTCCTTGACAATTCGGGATAGCATATCTCGGCGCATTAATTGTCAACTGATATGGAATGACTGATTTAATAGTTGATGGATTCAATTCCCGATTTTTATGGAATCAAATATTGGGTGTATACACGTTTTAAATGATTTAATAATATAATAATAGGTTGAATGATTTATGCGTCGGATTCATGCAAAGAAAATTTTGAACAGATTTCTAAAATCATGGTTTGTATATATCATGTATTCATCAATTGAATTTTTTTCTACATTATCGGTTTGAAAAGAAAAATGAATTTTATATACCTTATCGGTTTTGATAATACAATGTTACAATCATTGTCATTATTTATTTTAAAAGATAATGTTTATCATTTATTTGCTTTCAAAAGATGAAAACTTTTTAATAGTTTAGGTCTCTTTTTATATATGCATTTACACAAATTAACTAAACGATTGGCAACATAATTTGTTATATATTGAATCAAACAGTAATTAATAAAAAAAGTCCATCAATCACGAAATTAAAAAAATAACACACGATTACTACATTTAAAAGATTAAATTTTTTGAGATAAACATTCATTTATATTGTCACGACGATAAACAACGGTGAGTTTCAGTCTTTATCGCACATTTGCTTATTCTTGAAAAAACATGTTTTTAGTTACGATCACTTATATATTGCAATTTCGCGTGATACATATAGAAAATGGTTGAAAATATTAATTTGTGGGAATAACAAGTTGCGCAATAATCAAACTAATAATGTTATTTACAATTAGGTTTTTAATAACACATGATTTTTTCAGACCCGAACATTTTATGAGTATTTTCCGCCCAAAATATTAATTACCTACTATAGATGGAAATATTATAATATGATATAAATAAAAAATAAATCATTAGCTGCATAATTTTCATATAACTCGGCTTTCGGTTTGTGTTTGTTTTAATCAATTCTTGGTTTCCTTTAAATACGTTGATAGTGGTTTTGTAGGCAAAAAGATTATGTAAATAATTATATGTAGCCGATTTTGGAATTCTCATTTATCGAGGATTCTTTTTTTAACAAATTTATCAGAATCATTGATTTAGATTAGCATATATGTTACAGACACAAAAAAATAATTTTATAGTAATATTTAATTTTACATGGCGTCTATTTTGGAATTCTCATTTGTGAGGATTCTTATTTATTTTATCATATTTATTAGAACCAACAATTTGGATTGACATTATACACAAAATATAAATTTATATTAATATTTAAATATGTTTTACATTGTAGCAGATTTTGAAAATAAACAATTTTATATGAGACATATACAAATCTTTTTTTTTTAGATATAAACCAATTCCCTTAATTGATATTCTTTTTTTCAATTGTTTTAAAAGGATAATTTTTAAAATTTTGTATAGTAAATCGATTTTTCGTTTTCGTATACACAAAATATAAATCTATATATGCAAAATCTATATCTATATATATACATTTAATACATAAAAAATTATCACACATATAATAGGAAAATTATCCAACTAATTACTAATATTTTTTAGACTTTAATACATATTATTCACATGTAGTATTTTGTATATTTTAAACATGTTGTGTATATATGTATGGGTGTTGAATTTTTTTAAGACATGTTTTACTTATAAAATAACTTAGAAAGGTGACCTCACATTTTTTAGGAATAATATAGAATATTTTAGATAATCTTACACATGTTGTATAACAATTTAGTAGTTTTAATATTTTAACCATACATGTTTAAGGTTCTTTTAAACAACATAAAAAACTATAAGAATTTTAGTGAATATTATTTAGCTAATCCAGTATAATCGATATTAAAATGAT